ATTTGACAGAGGGATCTGGGTCCCTTTTGCAGAGCCACTGCTACCCCTAGTTTTAGGGGCAGAGAGGAAGGCACGGTCCCTAAGAGCTGAAAGGGGCCCTGATTCTTAATATACACCGGGTCCCAGAGTGTGGGGGAAGTGCTGGGACAGTTTTGAGTTTCTGTGTGTGTGTGTGTGTGTGTGTGTGTGCGCGTGCGTGCGTGCGTGCGTGTGTGTGTTTGTGTGTGTGTGTGTGCGCGCGCGCGCGCGTGTGTTCCTTTGCAACTCTCCTTTTGAGGAAGCTCTGAGTGTTTGATTAGGATTTTTGTTTAGGAGGAACGGCTCTATGGAATCGCTTTCCAGCCCCTAAAAATCTCTTTTACAGCTCACCTAGCCCTTTCGTGGCTTCCTCTGCGCACCCTCAGCTATGGCCAGCGAGAGCTCCCCTCTGCTGGCCTACAGGCTTCTGGGGGAAGAGGGGGCTGCCTTCCCTCCCAATGGAGCTGGAGGATCTGGTGTGGCATCAGCGCGAAAGCTCTCCACCTTCCTGGGCGTGGTGGTGCCCACTGTCCTGTCCATGTTTAGTATAGTTGTGTTCCTGAGGATTGGTGAGTAGAGGAAGGATGTTCTGGGGAAGGGATGGGGCAGGCTGAGGCTAGGGATGGTCCCTAGTAGATGTGGACAGATGGAGGGTGGAAGGAAAAGACCCCTTGTGGCCTTGTGTGGGCTCCTTTGTGAGACTCTGCTACCCAGTGGGATAGAGGTAGAGGAAAAGAATGTAACTGTCCCTTGTGACCTACTTTTCTCCCCCTTTTCAGGCTTCGTGGTGGGCCATGCTGGGCTGCTGCAGGCGTTAGCCATGCTCCTGGTTGCCTACATCATTCTGGCACTCACCGTCCTCTCAGTATGTGCCATTGCTACCAATGGAGCTGTGAGAGGGGGCGGAGCCTACTGTATCCTCCAACATAGGTGGACTGGGTCTGGGTTGTTCTGTCTTCCAGGATTGGGGAGGGGCCAGTATCTCCTGAAAACAGGCCAAATGTTAATGATTGGTGAACAGCAGGAGGCAATGGTAAAAGTGACTAGTACTGTCTTCATCTTAGTGCCGCTGTCTGGTCTCCTAACAAGGCTATCAGCATTTTAAGCTCAGTGGTAGAATACTTGCCTAGCATGCCTGAGGTCTGGGGTTCCATACCCAGTCCTGCTCCTCTCTATCAACAACAAAACAACTCCCTGATAGTCATTTTATAGATGAGCAAAGTGGATGCCAGGTGTGGAAATGCAGGTGCAGGCCTGTCACCCCGAATACCCAAAAGATGGAAGCAGGAGGATTAAAAGCCCATGACCATCCTGGGCTACAGAGTGAATTTAAGGCCAACCTGGGCAACTGATGGAGACCTTGTTGCAAAATAAAAGGGTGGGGCATGGTGATTATGCCTTTAATCCTAGTATTGGTGAGATGGAGGCAGGAGGATAAGGAGTTTGAGGTTATCCTAGGCTACATAGTGAGTTGGAAGCCAACCTGGGCTACTTGAGACCCTATCTCAAAAGACAAAACAAAATAAAGAGTAAAACGAGAACAGGGATAATATCCCAGGGCAGAGGGCTTGCCTGGCAGGAGTGTGAAAATGGGGAAGATTGTGCATTCTTATGATTTATGCAAAGATACAAGACATAGGCATGCTGCTGCTGAGAACTGAGTGATATTTGCAGGGAACCTGGAAGTGAACCTGTGGAAAGATCAACTTATAGCCCCTTCCTTCATTTTGGTTTCTTTTCCCTTAATGCTCAACTCCCTGCTTCCACTTTTAGTCATGATCAGCAGAACCCTGGGACCGGAAGTTGGTGGCAGCATTGGTCTCATGTTCTACCTGGCTAACGTCTGTGGCTGTGCGGTTTCCCTGCTGGGGCTAGTGGAGTCCGTGCTGGATGTCTTCGGGGCTGGTCTGTACTCTCCCCAACCTGGTCTGGGTGGTGCTGAGTTTTTCAGGGTCTAGGATTATGGAGTTATGTTTCCCAAGATGCACATACTGAATCTTGTCTTTGTATTGCCTGCCTTCTGCAGGACACGTGGGCCACCGAGTGCTTGTCTTCGTCCCCAGGAACTTACCCTCTACAGGGTGTCCAACCTGCAGCCCTCTAGCCACATGAGGCTGCTGGTGACCAAGGACAGCTATTAATGCTCCCAGCACAAAATTTTAAGCTTACCTAAAACATTAGATTCTTTTTTAGATATGCACGTTTTTTCCTTCTCTTTTGTTTCTTTTTCTGGGGTGTGTGTGGTAACTGTGGAGTGTGCATGTGTGGGTGAGCCTACTTGAGCATGGGTATGTGGAGGCCAAAGGTCACTGTTGGCTATCTTTCTCTAATGCTCCTCGCCTTATTTACTTATTTGTAAGTATTCATTAGTTTCTTATTGTTGTGTGCATGGTAGGGGATGCACACCTACAATGGCTTGAGTGTGGAGGTCACAGGACAACTTTTTGGAGTCAGTTCTGTCCTTCTTCCTTTATGCTGTTTTGGTGGAGAAAACTTAGGTCACCAGGCTTGCTTAGCAATATTGCTCACCCTCGGAGCCATCTTGCTTGTCCTTTTTTTTTTGTGCACAGTGAAGGTAGATTTGTTAAGGAAAAGTAAGAAATATCGCTAAAGAAACAGGCATGGTGGTGCACGCCTTTGATCCCAGCACTCGGGAGGCAGAGGCAGGTGACTCTCTGAGTTTGAAGCCAGCCTGGTCTACAAAAAGAGTTCCAGGACAGCCAGAGCTACACAGAGAAACCCTATCTTGAAAAA